TATATACTTGATTCACTAAAAATAAAAATTCTTATGTCAGGGATCAACGTTGTCACTTTATATGTTTTTAAATCACTAAAAAGAATCAGCTCATAAAAGCTATTTAGAATTCATTTAGAATTCAGACATGTATTCAGAATACACAGTATTACCCGATCCCACCCTCCTCTCTTTCTCCCACTTCGCTTCCTGTCAACCTACCGTTCCTATCTAAATAAAAGGCATAAAAACACCAAAAACAAATCTTAAAAAAAAAAAAAAAAGCATTAGTTCGGGAATCAGACTACACTGGCTTTCAGGAATCAGACTACACAGTCCACATTCACGCTGGAGACTCATAAAACTGTTAACAGAATAATTAATCATTTGATTTTGCTATTTTCTGAAAAACAAATCTCAGTTCCCTGTCCTAATGACATCAATGCATTATGACATCACAGCAGGCTGAAGAAGGCATTGGAAAATTCAGGGTGTGACTGTTTTGGAAGATCTGTTTTGGAAGCAGGGCAGGGGCTCTAGTGAACATCTGACTGAGCAGATTGCTCTTGCTAGTTCCGCAGAACATGAGCCAACCGAGCAGGCCTGAAGAGCAGGGGTCTGACAGATATTGGGAGGACTACAGGGTACTGAGCCGCTCTGGGCCGGTTGGGCTGTCACATTAGGTTGAGAAAGCACACGGAGATTAAACGTTCTGCTGAGTCTCTTCCATGCGCCACGGCAGAAAATCAGTCCCTTGCACCTCCTCTCAGTTTGCAAGGCACTATTTGTCTTTGTAGTCAGGAAGTAAGGATGAAATGAAATATATATTTGTGTCTGAGACTTCACGCAAGTGAGTTTATACAATAATGACCTTAACCCTCACGTTCTCTTTAGGGTCTCAAACAAACCAATGCTACTTATTGGGGGATAATTCATCCAAAAATTGTTTCACCCTCATGTCGTTCCAAACGTTCTTCCTGCGGAACATAGAAGAAAATATTTTGAAAAATGTTGAAAAGTGAAAGGAGTCAATGCTGTTTTGGATTTTGATTGTATGGGCTAAAACAGAAAGAATCATCTTTTGTGTTCCCCAGAAGAAAGACACTCTTGACATGAGGTTAAGTAAATGATGGCAGAAATTGTATTTCTGGGTGAATGATCCCAATTAATAAATTCAAAGTAAAATAACTGGTATGATTTGTATTATTTTTACATGTAAATCATTGGAGTCTCAAGTATAATCTACACAGAACATGAAGGTTAAAGGTCACATATTGTACACCTTTCTGGAGATTTATTTTAGGTTTTGATGTCCTTAAAAATATATATTTGCGGTATAAGTACCAAAAACCATCTCAATATATTTGTACAGCTCCTCTCTCAGGAGCTCTGCTGAGAACAGGTCGATTTTGGCCTGTCTAATTAATATTCATGAGCCTCTCTTCTGATTGGCCTGTTGTGTTCTGAGTGACGCATAGCCAGGCCAACCACAGGTAACTAGGGTCAGAGACGTCACAGCGCTAGCTGGAGGCAGCAAAACAAAGGGGAAACTGGAGGCAGCCCATTCAAACCAGCGCAGATTCGGCTACATAAGGAGCTTAAAATATCATCTTATTGTGATGTTGGGTGCCAGAATCGACGTAATACAGCCTCAAATTAGAAATTTGATCGCATATCTGC